ATATATAATAATTTTTATCTTTATAAAATTATAAAAACATCATATGTTTATTGTGATCTTTCTATGTTCTTGGATTGGTTATCTTTCATTTATATTTCTTAATATCTGTTACCATAGTGCTAATTTCTTCAAAGCTTTTTTTCAACAGCTTGTGTCTATTTAATGTTATTAACTTCATATTGTTTTTATACAATTAATAGTGTATCTTGTAAAATTGACTCGTAATTTTCAAAAAGCTGACTGGAATCATTATTCATTTCTGTAGTAATATCTTCATATAAATAGTAATTAAAATTAGTTGAGTTATATTATTAAATATTCATTATTACATATTTCTTACCAGTTAGTTAATTATCAAATATGTAACTAGATGATAGCATTAATGAATTATTTGATGCTAGTAATAACAGTCCATAAATTGACGAGGTTTCTTGAGTTAGTGTTAGTAATATTATAAACTGATATATATCTTGCCATTGAACATTAAGAAAAAAGGATGAATTAGCAATAAAAGAAGTAAATTGAATAAGGTGTTTGTATAAAAAAAAGCAATTTATTAAAAATCTCATGTAATTGCAAAACCAGTTTTTAATATTAGTCAAATAAATATAATTAATATCTTTTTGTTTCAATATGTTCCATTCTTTTTAAATTCTTTGTGCCATGAAGGCATTTCCTGATCAGAATAATATTTGTAATACTGTTGTTGAAGATGTAATATGAGTTGTGTAGTAAGGATATGAATTACAAGATCTAATTATGGTCTAAAAAACTTTGGCAAAAAATTATGTTTTAAAACTTTCCAGTGAGACTCAATTAGTATTATAGTACAGAAAATACAAATTCGGTCTGGTATTAACGATTGTACTTACAATGGCCAAAGTTTACTATGATACTAATTTTGGCACATATAAGACCAAAGATGTTTAAGATTATTTGTAGTACAAAATTCATATATTTTTTTTATACACTGTTCCAGATTTTTTTTTTTGTCATCATAATCCCTTCTGAGTTAGGAATAAGTGGATGCAAATACATATGATATTCCATCATCGAAATTATTTTTGGTTGCAAGTTTTTAGAGCAAAAAATAAAATTATTTTTCGCTTTGGTCTTGTTTTCAGGTAATTCGGGATAGAATTCAATATCAATAAAATTAAATATATTATTTGTATTATACGAGCTATATGTTATTTTTTGAAGTAGAGTATTGTTGGCCAATCGTCTTTTAAGGGCTTTCTTGAAATGCCAATAACAAACTTGTATCTTAATACAGTCAGAGATTTTTTAAAATTTGAAGATTATTTCTAGAATAGTCTATAATTATGCATAAGCATGTGATTTGCGCTTAATAATTGTGATTGGCGCTTAGTAATCTTTTTTTAAAAAAAAGTCATGACCTTTCGTCGATTTGGTACCGCAAGTCTAACTATCGAAATACATATTTTCCAACACATACTTTCAGAATCCGTGAGGATCTCAAAGCCTTAATAAATCAGTTTTCCTTAAATTAAAGCTTAAAATTATATAATTTTATAGATTATAACCAATGAGTTTAAAAGTAGAAGCCAAAACGCTGCTCTGTATCTTTACTATTTTTGCTACAAAGTACCCAGAAAGTGGTTTACTAAATCGTATAGAAAAATGTAAAACCAAAAAAAGACAACAGTGGCGAAATGCATCGGCTAATGCAGCAACAAAAAAACTAACAGAATTGGCTAAGTATTTTTTTGAATTTACCCCATTCGTTGAATCACTTAAAAATTACTTTTTATGTGAACGGCATTATAACCAGATCATTACCAAACCTTCTTTTATTAAACAATTAACAAACGAATCAGGTTTTTTAAATTTAGATGAGAACGAAAAAAAAAGGTTAAAACTCTCTAATGATAATAAAAAAATTTTGCTGATTTTGGCGTACAAGTTAAACCAACTTCTGTCAACTTTGAAGTTCAAGTATCTTTGTCAACTATCAATGTTGGAGTTCAAGTATCTTTGCCGACTGTTGACTTTGGAGTTCAAGTATCTTTGCCGACTATTGACTTTGGAGTTCAAGTATCTTTGCCAGATCTAAAATATGAAATTCTTTTAGAACAAATTAGTAAGCTAGAAAGTGCTAATGCACAATTGTTAGCTAAAAATAAAGCATTAAAAAAAAAGTTATGTGAAAGATTTACTAACCAACAAGATCGCATTAAGTTTATTATAGAAATTGCCAAAAAGGAACGAAATAATTTGTATGAAGATATAGAAGGTTTGGTGAAAAATCCAAGACGATTTTTTTTGAATAGTCTTCTGGAATATTCTCTTTCCAAATGGCTTGCAGAATGAAATCCAGTTGTTGTGAAGTTTATAGAAACTCTTACTCATAATGAAAATAAACAACAACATGGAGAAAAGCTTTTTAAATATGCCATAGCCGTTGATGCTATATATAGATCAAGGCACTTGAAATACGTTTCTGCAATCAATTTGGCTGCTTCGGCTATTAAGTATTCATTAGCAAGGTCAAAAATGATTGAAGATATTGACAATCATATTATTAGTTCCTGTAGCTATTCAAAATTTACTAACTGGCTAGAAAATTTAGCTATAGAACAGCCACCACTTCCCAACGGTCTTCTATTTTTGGCTTTCAACAATGAGCAAAAAGGCCAAAAAAATTATTTGGATCGTGAATATAATACGGTTATATTCCATACCGTTACGAGTTTTGTTGCCTTTAATTATGATCAAAGCAACAATATTCAAACTACGAATCCCTAGCTATATTCTGAACCTACCCAAAAACAATATGAAGAATTATTCTACTTAATATTGGGTATGAAAGATGCAATTCATAAAGAACTTACTAACTATCTTTTAGTTATTTTAGAAGAACTTCTTCTTGAGAAAAATCAGGAAACAAATGTGATTGATGACTTGGTAAACTCTCAAAGCCAGATAGGAAATATGAAAAAATGCTGTTTTTGTCAAGTCTCTGATATCGATAATAAGAAGCAGGTTTGTCCTAATTGTTGTAATAAATTACCTACAATTAGTGAAATGAATCAACAATTTATTGAACAATCTAATATTAAAAATACTACAGACAAGCCTCTAGTTGTTTGTCCTTATAGGTTTAAAGAATTAAATGCACAATAATCAGTTCTAAAGGTTCATGAGCCACAAATGTTTATTCCTGATCTGATAGGAATTAATGCCAATTCGATCGCTAATATTCAAAAAGTTCTTGAGCATATCGAAAAAGCATCTGGAGTTAAAGACAATAGACGTAAATGGATCGTGGTTACGTGTGATGGAGTGTTGTATCATCATATACTGAAAATGAAAATGGATTTTCCTTGGTTTATATTAATTTCAGGTGCTCTTCATGAAGAAATGAATATGTTAAAGGCATTTATCGAGTTGAATTGGGATATTGACATAAGAGATTTTGCTTATTATCAAGAGTATCAAACTGAAAATTAACTTCAGTTCTTCAAAAAATGTTCAGATTATCACAAATCATGTGATTCAGTATATAACATATACAGATATGCAATAGCATCTGAATTGATGTGGCCATATGTTATGTATGAAGAAAACCTTTCTGTCGAAGGTTATTTAAAATGGGCCCAAGAATAAACAGATCCTATATATAAATTAAAGTATAAACAAATCTTTCTTTATTTGCAAGCAATTATTAACTTTCGTACTGGAGTTCGTTTTAATAGGTCTTACTAAGACTTGTGGCTAGAAGAACGTTTGCGTCTATTTGTCTGCTCGATGGTATCCAATTTATCAATTAATTGAGGTTTATGATGAAGAGCAAATGTTACGATTGAAGTCTGAAGTTTTCAACTTAATCCAAGAGAGAATCATAACTTCACGATCCAAACTTTCGAATCAACATCAAGGCTACGATGCAATACTTGAAGAAATTAATAGGGCGCTCAAATCATTAATTCCTCCGATACCTTCACAACGATATTGGAAAATTGCAGCACGTAATTGTACTAAGTTTTTGAAATTGTATACTAATCTTTTTAAGCTAATAGGTATTCTGAAAGTGAAACCCAAGAACCTCGTACATGTTCTGGTTTTACTGGTGAATCAAGTCGTTATCAGGCTCGAATAAAAAAAACCTAATTCATAAATCCAAAAGCTAACAATCGTGTTTTTCAAGATATAAGTGGTGAACAAGAAATAAGTGAAGAAATGAAATGATTTAGCAAAATTGTGAATATAAAGAGAATCAAATTTATTAAAGCTAAACTAATTAACAAAACGGCATTGGAGATTTGGCATCCAATACCTATAACATGTGAAGAGGTAGATTTTCAAAAAACCAAAAACTCTTTAACAAAATCGCAACTTTCATCTATTATTAACTCTTTAATTCCTTCTTTAGGTGATTCTGATCATTCGCATTTTCGAGGTTTATCAAATAAATCTCATAACGATTTAATAAATATTCTTCGAGAGATTAGAAGTGTAGTGGCCAAAAATAGTATTAATATTGGCAGTGAAGAATAAAAATAGACAGGATGCTTTTGGTTAATATTTGTAATTATAAGTATATTTATAATAAAATTTAATTAAAAATTTTTTTAAACAAATTATTT